GAAGTATATATTTGCCCCTTTTCCGCTTCACTTCCTTTTTTTCTTGCCCCAATTCTCTTTATTCCTTCTTTTCTCTCTCAATCTTGCCAGATATTTGTAGTACAAATATAAAGAGATCTGCATATGTTACAGAGAAAAGAAATATTATGTATTATACAAACTCTCATAAACAACCTGATATAATTAAGCCTTGTAAGTTTTATGATCTAGTAGTAGCCAAATATTGTTTATTGGCTACATTTAATACTCACCAAGGATGGTTCAGTCTGCAATTTGGAGTCGAGTAGAAGTGAAGAAAACACCATTGTTAACTTACGTTGTTTCAGACCCTGGAGAATAGTCAGATATCTAGTTGGATAAGAGTAAATTAAATAGGCAACAAAATATAATGTCCCAGAGCATATTAATGACACTATATTAAACATGCTAATTTGACATAAGGAAGTAGATTCTGATAATGTTACTGAAATCTAAAAGCATTGTAAAACAAATGTTTTAGGTGGCACTTAATATACGTTGGGTAATTAACTTACCAGTTTTCTAAATACAGAATCAGACATTTTTTAAAATGACTCATGATAATAAAATGGTAATTTAATAGTAGAAGAAAATAAGCTTTAGAAGTATGTTCTTGTCTATTTCTCTTGTCTTGTTTTGAGAAATTAATTTGTTTTATTATTTCTGTGTATACATGAAGGTGATAAAGGCTGGATTGATAATTGACATTTTCATGGAAGACTGATCCGATATCAACACTTTATTATTTAATTTGCAATATGATTTCTTACATTTTAGAAGAGAATAATTCTGCAATATGCCCATTCTTTTGAATATTTAATCAGTAAACTTGTATTAATATAGTAAGACTTCATCAAATATATAACAATATATTCTGGTTTTACAATTTGAAAAATGCTACAAAAAGATAATTTTTATGACTTCTTTGTATTAGGCAAATGGGAAAAAAGTCAAGGTTTATGATATATGACAAGTGCTCCTTTGAATTCCAAAATATATCTGACCTCACAATATTTTTCAACATGACTTCAAATAAGCATGTAGTGAGGTCAGAATGTACTTGCTTTTTCAACTGCAAGCCATCTCTTTTGTACTGGTATAAACATCCTTTATAAATTACATTCATATGACTGAATTTCATTAGAAAAAGAAATTGACATATCTTAAAAATTAGCAAGAATGGTCTATTAACATTAACGGCATCACAAATTAAATATTGCTTAGTGGATGAAGGCAATTTTCAGATAAATCATATTCTTCAATAACAGGTCTGTCTATCCATTTGCAAGCTGGACTTTATTGTGCTTCATGAAGTAAGTTGTTCCTCTCACATTTGTCTCCTCTTAACCTGAGCATTTTCACTATAGCCACATCACATTGAATGGCCTAGACTTCTTGAATACCATGACATGGGATATATGTGTCCATGCATGTAATAAACCCCTGACATAATACTCTCCTTTACCTTAAAGCCAGGTGAATTCTTTCAACATTGGCACAGGGAACTCGGGGCAGGAATCATTCAAACTTTTAAAGTAGTCAATGGGAAAGAGAGAAAGCTTTGAGAAAACCAGCATGTGGCCAAAAACAACAGCAGGTGTGGCCATATGGCAATCGAATTAGAAAAGGGATTTTTGCCACACTGCCTTCCAGAAGATAGTCAAGCCCAGAGAGTGCTCAAGAAGGGATGATTTACTCAGTACATTTTAAGTGTTTGATATTGCCTCTTTCACTGATCCTCTCCAAAGGGAATTTAAATCTATTACACCAAATAGATATTGTAGCATTTTCTTAAAAAATAAAAAATAATAATTTCTAAAGTAATTTCAGTTCCACATTTAAAGATCATTATGCCAGGGGCGCCTGGGTGGCGTAGTCGGTTAAGCGTCCGACTGCAGCCAGGTCGCGATCTCGCGGTCCGTGAGTTCGAGCCCCGCGTCGGGCTCTGGGCTGATGGCTCAGAGCCTGGGGAGCCTGTTTCCGATTCTGTGTCTCCCTCTCTCTCTGCCCCTCCCCCGTTCATGCTCTGTCTCTCTCTGTCCCAAGAATAAATAAACGTT